AAAGAGGACATATGTGTCAGTGTGCGTACAAAATCAAGATGAAAATCTTGGTCTGTGAAAGTTTCATTCGGGAGGCATCTATAACAAGACAGACACTGTGCTTTGGAGTATTAGGTTTTTGTGAGAGAAAGACACCAGTGTCAACTCAGTTACTAACAGATGGAAGTTTATTAGGTTTAAGCCTTGTGGATGCAACTAAAATACGGCATTGTGCTTGATTGTGAGATGTTGGATTCTTGCACCTACCTCTATACGTTGTTATCACTATTACCATCAGTTCCCTTGGTTTACACAATTTATTTCGAAATTCTCTTACCTTGTCCAACGGTTCACACCACAGAAGAAAACGTTAGTATCGCTTGGAAATTTCAGGTGGTTTTGAGTTTTCTTAACTGTTCAGACATCAAATTGATCTAGGAAAAATAATAATTAAGTTTGATTTTATACTGGTAGAAAACAGATGCAAGAGGGAAAAAGAATACTTGGGCAAGCAAATCATTCTCCGCTACTCGTCTCATTCTCGCTTTCCACTATAGTATAGCATGGATACTATAATCTCATTTTGGTAAAAAAATGTCTCTGAGTTTTCTTGATGATATGCTCAAAGGGAAGATGCTACCTGCAATGGAACACTTTCCTCGTTTTCAAAATGCTTGAGAATAGATTAAATACTGGAATAAGCAAACGCATCGTTCCGCAACTTCATAGGTCTGCGATAAGTTTCCTACACGCACCCAGAGAGAGAGAGAGAGAGAGAGATATTTTTTTTCTTCGTGTCCATCAGATATGAGACGAATAGAAGGATGAGAACAATAGCAAAATTCATTTACCAATTCTCTCCAGATTCTTCTTGCTTTGTTTGCATCAGCTGCGAGATCAAAGTAGAAGGATGAGAATAGGGAGGGGAACAAATTCTCCTAGTAAATCTTAACCTAGAATGGTCACATCACAAGGTAAAAGGATTGAATAGTTAAACAAAACAAAATCACACGCCTGATTTTGGTATGAAAAAGGAAAAAAAATCTTGAGCAAGAAGATCATACCACTCTTGGATCTCTGGACGCATGTATATTTGCAACATTGTGTACAGCATCAATATCATTCCCATTTAAGCTTTCATCATAGTCGTACTGTCACGTAGCGCTAGATTAACAATATACCATTCATTCTTTTCCGCCCAGATTTCTAGCAGCAGTGAGAATCTTGTAATCAAACAGATACAGCTTGGGAAAGAAATTCGGATCTTGTTAAGTTACAAATCCCAAAAAATAAATAAAAAAACTTGATCTTCAAGAAAAGCTGCGTGGCAATTAGGAAAAAATACAATGAGCAAAGTATCAGAGATAAATAACAAATATCTAAGCAAACATTATCAGCGGCAGAACCAGCAATGAATCTCTTATATCCGGCAAAGCTAGTGCAATTGCCTTGAAAGAATTCATCAGATGTGAATTCCATAGTTCTCTGGTCAAACACATAAAGAAGCTAACTAGCCATCAACATTGTTTCTGTACATATGCTCTGGCTTCAGCGATCCATTAGTTTTAGAAGAATGTCCTGCCACCATAATCAAAATAATGACCTCGTCAGTTATTGCAGATTTCAACAGATAGCAAGAGGCGGGAAAGTAATAGAAATCAATGATTTAACGGCAAGAATAAAATTTTATACGAGGACATCCTGGCAAGCTCGAAATGATTTCACAAATCATTAACATGGTTGACTGGTTCGTTTGCAAACAAAAAACCTGCTTTACCTAAACTGCATGCAAAGTCACGACATAACAAATGCAGTTGTCAGAAACAGATACTTCGGTGACAGGAATGATATGATTTCAGCCCCCGTTGTAGTTCAGCATATGAAATTAAAAGCCTTACTTGACGAAATTCAATTGATTGACTATGACATCTGTTGTTTGTGGAACAAATTATTTCACTTTGAAGGTGGTGTTGAAATGCCTACAGAAGTTAGGGTGAAATATAGTCAAAATATGATGGAAGCGAACTGGGGTTGAACACTCATAACAGAGGTTTCATCAATATTTATACAGATCCATAAGCAAACATTTTGAGCGTAATAATCAGATGTCGGGAACGATTCATACTTGCTTGTGTACTCTGCCAAATATGAAAAACGTGATGATTAGGTGTAATAAAAATACAAGATGTGAACGTTGACCTGTCATTGCTGAACTGAAGTCGTAAGAATTTTGCTCTTTAACTTCCAACCTCTTCATACATACAAGGATGGAGAGTTCTAAAATGGAGCAATCTGCCAAAAAGTGTCTCGGTATAAAGCTCCGCATACGAAGAAAAAAAGAAGATAGTATAAGCGCTAGCATCAACAAGACATGGTTATTTCCTATGCTTTCAAGGAAATATATATTTTCAAGAACTCATTAGGCAGTATTATTCTTTTTAATAGTTCTCTTCAATTTTTTCATGGCGTAACAAACACACCTAAGAAAACCTGAATAAATTCCGAAGAATGGATCAGTTTCTCGTTGAAGGAATTGATGCCTATCACTTAAGATGCGGGAATAAATCTAGCTACCGAGGGACGACATAGGAGACAACAGATGAGTTACAAGAACATCTAGTGTTTATGAAAATATTCATTCATTATCCAGCTGACAAGGCACATCCAAGCAGGAAATAAATGCCAAAGAACAAATTGGCAGACCTTTTATGCATTCCTGCTTTGGCCGCCTTTGGATTCTCGAAAGCGCAGCTTTGAAATTCTCGAGTGACAAGAACCCTGATTTCAACTCCATATGCGAGATGGCAACAAATCTAGCCTCAAATGGTAATTTTAGGAGAGGGTAAGTATTATAACATAAATAACTATTAATTCACAACATTTGATGTTTACAGATGCAAGAAACTGGACTTGTAGAAATCTCAATAAATGATTTATGTAGAATTGGAATTTAAATAAGCGCCTATGGTTTCTTTGAATCTCGTCTGCTAAAATACTCTGTTAAATTATCCAGAAGATAAATGATTGATTATGAACATGCATATTTGAGATGACCATGATATTATTATCCAGTAAAAGGATGGGTTAGATACGCATACTGGAAGCTTTTCATTGAATTCAGCAGCATAGTCACCGGCAAGACTTGAGTTCATTGGCAAAGTTAGGACGTGCTCCAACAATCTGCATAACCAGAATGTACGAAAACTGGTAATTCACCATGGCTCTTCTAACTCATGCGATGGGAAATTACCTCCGTACATCTTCTTTAGATGGAGGGAGAACAGCTAACTATCTATGAGATATTCGAGATCTTGCTCTTTTTTCCAGAAGCTGATCAGCATCCTGTAGATACGTCTTGATTTTTACGTCATCTTAACAAGTTAAAACTACCATAATCATGTGCAGTTGATGCACTACGAATGGAATGTACACTAGCTTTCGACACGTTTTTCTGCTTATTTTACTGCCAATTGGCTTTAAGTGCCATGTTTAAAGATAACTACAGGGAGAAGAGCTTCTACTTCTCCTACGGATTTACTATTTCTCATGTAAAAGATCCGGAAATAAATTATGATAAGCATCTCTCTGCAAATGATATATAAACTGGCAAGGAAGAAGGAAGCAAGAAAACAATGCAAGGAATAACATTTGAACATACCAATCGGCAACTAACACCAACAAGAACGGCCTGTGATCGATGTTACTCGTTGCACTGCATCCAACAAGCTATAAAGTAACCATTGTTTCTCCGAAAAGTGGAAAACCCAAAAAAAGGAAAAACAAGGAACTGTAAATATATCAATCGGAGATTTCAAACCGAAGAAAACTTGCTATCTTTTTTATAAAAAAGAAATCCTTACCGTAAAAGTTTCCTCAAAAGAACAATCGAACTCGCCAAGTGCAAAAATAATTGTTTTATGTGCTAATCCACACACTCCCTGACAGCAAGTGACAACATATGGCCTGTGTGAAAACAGAAGATTAGAATTCACCGCAACATGGCTATCATGAACTGGGCATCATAGGATGCCTACAAGAAGATCTCAAGATCAGGAAACTCGAATCCTTTCATCATGAGTCAATATTCTCGACAAAAAAATGTTACCATTTTTAGAATAACAAATGGTGTTCCATGGCGGTTTCCTGAATGTTCAATAGTCATTACAAACATATTAATACTATATTTTACATATTTTCACTCATCTGCTTCAAAATTACAACAATTCCTAATCAATGTATTATATATCAACAACCCACTAGGATAAGAACTACAATTCAGGCCAAGATTTTTGTTTTTTTAAAGGTTACTAATATGAGTCGTATAAATTTTAGAATTATTAAAAATTTATATATTTATTAATTTTAGGATTCATGATATACATTTATTAACCTGAATATTACATTAATAATAAAAAAAAAATATCATAATTCAAATCTACATAACCTTTGATAAAAAAATTATTTAAAGAATAATTTCATCATCTTTCCTTGATATAATTCGCGTTATAATAAGCTGTATTACAACTTTTTTTTATTATCAATCAAATAATTATATTATAAAAAAAATTTAAAATTATTAAATAAAAAATAATTTTAACCTCTTTATTATCCTGCGCAAGTATATCACCTTAAAGATGTTAAATGGTGAAGTTTTTGAAGTTATTTTAAGTTCCACCATACAATTAAACATAATTATTTGTACTGAATATTTTCCTAAATTTATCCAGAACAAGCACAGTGAAATCCAAAAAATAAATCGAAGTTATTTTAACACAAGAAAAAAGAAATAATTAAAAAAAATATGTTTTTTTAATGAGAATCGATTATGTTTTTCCCTAAAAAAAGAAAAAGGAAAAGAGAGAGAAATACTAAGCCATTTTCATGGGCTCCGATTGTAAGTCCAATGGGCTTGGCTAGTCAACAAAGTAGGCTTCTTCCAAGGTCTGGCAAGAAGGAATGGAATGAGAAAAATATCAGCGGCAGCCCGGAATTCGGACGATAACGAGAGCCAACCAATCTTTAAACGTTTCAGATTTATTTGCCTTCTGTGTATTGCTAATTGCAACACCGTGAAAAAGGGAATACTCCATAGAAATTATGGGGAGCACGAGTCTCATCCCTCATTTGCAACTCCACGGTTGCTTCTACAAACGCTTGGACTCCGTCAGAAACGAACACCAACAATTTCCTTCACTACAGCTCAACATTAATTCCAAGAGGAGAGGGGGATTGAGATTCGATGCTCCGCATACCAGGTCGACAAATTTCAGAAGAGTCGTTTGTTTCGCTGCTGTTGACGATGACGTCTCCGAGAAGCAGCAGCAGCAGCAAGATTCAACCAGTACTAGCTCACTTCTCGAGGATAGGCCTGGTAAGATCATTCATAATAACCCAATTTCGCAAATTTCTTTTTGTCTTTCTTAATTATCGGAATTACCTTGTTCTTAATAATCGAAATTGAGGAAAATCGGATTTTTGTTGTGGTTTATTTATGTTCATGCTGCTATGCTATGCAAGAAGGCTATTTTCTGTGAAGTAGTTTTACTCTCCGCCGTCACCTGCTTATAATAATAGCGTAAAAAATGTATTTTGATAGTAGTTTTGCAAACTAGTTTGTAATTTCGAGATTCCGGATATTTTGATGGGAGCTTCTTCTGGATTCATGGGTTCTTAATGATTCTTTGTTAGTTTATCTTATCCAGGTCTTTGTAGCTATCATGCTTACTTGACTGTATATAAGATGTTTAGTATCAATCTTGTATTGAACAATACAGATACAGATGTGGTCGATAGTATGCCAGAAAAATTTGGGCAAGATAGTGAAGGAAGTCCGATTTACAATTTTCTTTATCCCCAAAAAGAGCTACTTCCCGATGATAAAGAAATGAGCTTATTTGATCACCTTGAAGAGTTGCGAGAGAGAATATTTGTTTCAGTTTTGGCGGTTGGAGCTGCTATCTTGGGATGCTTTGCATTTTCAAAAGAACTCGTTATAGTTCTTGAAGCTCCTGTTAAATCGCAAGGTGTACGATTTCTGCAACTAGCTCCTGGAGAATTTTTCTTCACAACTTTAAAGGTTAGACCAAATGAATATCCTTTGCCTTCTTAATGCATGCCACTTTGTTAGTTGCAGTTACATGATATTACCAGTCCAAACGAAAGGAAAAATAATGATTTTTTTATGTCGAATTAGATACACATAATGAACTTATGCTTCTCATTTCGCTCCTTGTGTTGTGTTCACCCTGCATCCAAAGACGTGTTTTTTGGTTGTATATTATTCTAGCTATTTAGTTATGAAGTTGATTTGATGAATCATGACCTTAATGATCCCCCTATAATAATGATCTCTCACTGTCCATATTCAAGCCCTGCATTTAAACTTGTTCTGCAATTTTTGGGATCAGTGATTCACTGAAAGAGAATCTGTACATCTTACGATAGCCCCACCAACTTATTGCATAAAATAAAAGTCCTGAAACTTTGAGTTGCCTGTTAATTTCCACACGGTGCTGACTCATAAATCTATGGAAATTGAAACCGTGCTTTATGTCACACTTGATTCTTGTCTTTTTATGATGTAGAACAAGAGAAGAGATTAGGAAGCACAAGACCCCTGGAGTCTCAAAGAAATAAAAGGAAATAATTAATTATTTCAAGATTTTCTTTCTAAAACAAAAGCAGCTAATGTTTTTTGGTGGGTCCTAAATCGCTTTGTCAAGTGGTCTGGCCCATTGACAAAATAATTGCATTACCCTGATAATCCTCAACCTGAGACTAGATAATGGTGGTCTTCATGGTGTTCTTCCATAAGATGTAACTAGTTTTATGTTCGTCTTCAACCTAGTGCAAATCCAAACCCTTGAAAGTGGCTACACTGTGCGTTTTGTTTGTTAACAGATCAAGAAAGCTGAACTTGCTTGAGGAAACACAGTTACATCAACAGCAATTTAATTTTATGACGATTCATGTTTTTCAAGTGGTAGACAAGGCTTTCAAACACCCCCCCTCTCCCTCTAAATGATAAGATCTGTAAAGTGACAGGGGGAGCACATGAAGAGTACGTGATAAACATTAATGAAATTTTATAGAGAAATGACAAAAAGAAGAAGAAGAATTGCAAGAATAGAGAAAAAGAATGAAAAGAAAGCATGGACACCTATTTTGGAGAGATGAAAATGTTAATAGCTCGAAAGCTAAAAAGATGAAACTTGCTCATCTCTAATCACATGTTCATGTGATATACTCTTGTCCATGACACATACATTTGAAGTCTGTACCACGTGCAATGCTCCATTTCTCTAACCACCACTAGTAGCACCTCTGTAACTCAGAAGAATGCTAAAACAGAACACAGAGAGAGCATGTGCCTCACCTATTCACTCTGATGGTGATGTTCGATGATTGTATGACTCATGCTACAAATGTAATTCTTTGGCTCAATGTCTAATGTGGTCTGTTGGCAATCTAAAGACCACGCTCAAGGGGATTTTTATCTTGAAGGTTGCATCCTGCTCCTTTAATCAAATACCACTCACTGTCATTGTTTCTTTCCACTTTATACCTTGTCTTTGGCCTAATCCCCAGCATATGGCTTTCTTCTTTCCTGACCCATTATCATATGTATAGCAGAAATTATGGGATCCCTAGGGAATAAGATATTTATGCTTGTAGATTTTCTGAATTTCATTTTACCTTGTTAAAATTCAACCTCAGCATCCTCATTCCCTTACCTTTTGTATTTTAATTGGATATTAATAAGTTGATGTCCATAACATTAAAATGTTTGTGTGCTGCAGGTTTCAGGATATTGTGGCCTTCTTTTGGGAAGCCCGATTATTCTCTATGAGATCATAGCCTTTGTTATTCCAGGTTTAACAAAATCAGAGAGAAGGTTCCTGGGACCGATTGTTTTAGGCTCCTCGGTACTTTTTTATGCTGGAATTATTTTCTCCTATTTGATTTTAACTCCGGCAGCTTTGAATTTCTTCGTTAGTTATGCTGAGGGGGCTGTGGAATCTTTGTGGTCTATTGATCAATACTTCGAGTTTGTGCTTGTGCTTATGTTCAGCACAGGCTTGTCATTTCAGGTAAATATTTTTGATAGCTGTCTCCTTCCTCCCCATTTTCTGTTTGGATGTGGCATGGCTTTTATTTATCATGCCACGAAGGATTGTTTTTAGCTTCCACTAATTGGGAGTGCTATGTGGAACCGTTGTATCCTTGAAGTTTTTAACTAGTTTCATTACCTTTGTTCTGTGCAAAAAATATCGTTCTTGTCGTTTTCCTGTTCTATAAAACAGGCTAAGATGATTCTGTTACCATTTTAATTTTGTATTTTTATTTATTTATTTCACTTTACTCTCTCGTGTTGTATGTGTGGGTGGCAGTGGGTTTTTTTTTTTAATATATATGGATGAAATGCCAAAACATCATGAAACCCAGGGTGTGATAGATCAAGCTAACCTTCTTATTCAACAGGTTCCTGTGATACAAATTCTTCTTGGACAAACTGGCCTAGTTTCAGGAGACCAAATGCTTTCGATTTGGAGATACGTTGTAGTTGGTGCAGTTGTTGCAGCAGCTGTACTTACACCATCAACAGATCCTCTTACTCAGGTGCTTCTAGCGGGACCACTTCTAGGTCTTTACTTGGGTGGTGCATGGGTTGTCAAGCTTACAGGCCGATGATTGATTGTCCACGCTGTACAGCATATCGGGTTTGTTGCTAGTGGCCTGTGCATCAGGAGTATGACAGGTTTCTGTTAATTACCGAAGGATGATGAATGTCAAAGGGATGGGGAAGGAGAGTGAGCATCTTTGACATCGCTGGTTGGACTTGTACTATATAAGAGCTTTGCCTGATATAGTGATGGTAATGTTGTATGAAAAACGTTATGTTGAGGAGCCCAATGATAATTGTCAAATATGCCACTTGTATCTTAAATCTGACCAAATGTTAAGAAAAAGGTTTTTGTTGATCAAGTAATGCTCACCCGATCATCTCCTAGGTATACCATGAACAGAGATCATTCCCCGGCAGAAGCTTCTGCATATATGAAAACATGCATAAATATCTTAGAAGTTTTGTTTTCTTATATTTACTTGGATTGGACCTCTCAAATACATGGAAATATTTCAACCGTCTAGCATTAACTAGGAGGAAAGACCTTTATTCAGCGGTCAATTCAGATATTTGAATTTCGTTACTGTATGTGTATTTGCTAGAAATTAATTTTTTCTAAGTGATTTTCTTGAAAAATAAATTTTAAAAAGGTAAATTATTTTTTAATATTTAGAAGTGTCATAGTAAATAAATTGAAAAACACTTTTCAATATCATAAAAAATAAGTTGGAAGATAACTTATTAATATATTTTTTAAAAATTTATTAAAATAATAAGAAAAAATTATACAAATTAAAAAATTTGAATGAGAATGAAATTAAAAAAATAAATTTGATAAATTATCTCAAATAATAAATAACAATTAAAATAATAAAGATTAAATCTAATAGATAAAAAAATTAAAGAATAATTAAATTAAAATAATTATAATTATAATTTTATAAATTATTTCAAATATGAAAAGTAATAATCAAAAGAACGAGGATCAAATTTGATAAATAAAAAATTTTAATTAAAAAAATAATAAGAGAATAGTAAATAACAATTATTAAAAAAAAGATCAAAGTTAATAAAAAAATAAAATTTAATATAAAAACAAAATTAAAAAAAAAATTAAAAAAATAAAAAAAAATATAGAAATAAAAAATTTAAAGATCAAATTTAATATAATTAATAAATAATATGATATTTTTAAATTTTTTTATAACTTATATGAAGTGTTTTTCTCGTTTAAAATAAAAAAAAATAATTTTTTTTAAAATCAAATGAATTTTTTTTTAATAGAAAGTATTTTTTATTAATTAGTTTTTTCAATAATAAATAAATATAAAAATAAATAAAAAAATAATTTTCAGGTGTACCTAAATATAATTGTAGATTAATAACAGGCATCAGCAATCAACCAAGTTTAAAAGGTTTTCGTCAATGATAAAGAACAGTGAAATGCAAGGTAACGCTGAACGGATTTTCGGTAACCAAAAACAGAACCATGAAATCACGCTGTTATTGCATGTGAGAAGAGAGGATCCTGAGGTGATTTTCAGGACCCATGACAGCATTGTCTATCTGACAGACCTTATATTTTCAGCTGCCAGTGCCAGATAGCCATAAACCAAGCTATATATATCTTTCCGTTTTCAACTTAAATCACGATTCTTGCAATCACATGCATCAACACAGCAACACAGCGATTCGATGGCAACATAATAGAGAAAAGATTGCCTATATAGCCTGATATAAAAAGATAAAATAAATATAAATTATCAAGTTTTATCATCTTGGGATGCATATACACGATTGCTTGAGCAACAAAAGTAAAGTTAGCAACAACTGCGGTTTTCAATGCCTCTGTTGTCCATCAAGATATTTGCAATGTTCGATTTGCATATTACAAACATCGTGTTGGACAAGTCTAGTTCAGAAACAAACTCTGAGCGAGTTCCCCCATCCCTCTTAACAGCTTAGAGCGACATTCTGCATTATGAATTCTATATCACTAGTACTACAGCAACCCAGTGTAGCTTCCATTTGTTTCAATGAACTTTTCAAATCATTGCATGCCTGGAAAACAGCTTCTGAAGAGCTTGTCAAACTTTCTATCTCTGTCTGCACTTTGACAATGACACTAGAAATTATCTACAAAGCTGCCTTCATAGCTGGAAATTCTTGCGGGGGATAAAGACAAGCCCCAAGCTCATCAATCTGCACTCCAATCTCTTGGCACAGCTTCAATAACTTCTCCAGAGTGTCCACAAAATTGCTGCTGTCTTCAGGCTTTTCTTGCTTAAGCAAACCAGTGATGGTGCGGATAAGTTCTTTCATGACTACAACTGTCTCAGACACAACCCCAATTGCTGATTGAGCTACTTTCATCTCTTCAGGTGACAGGTCATTGCCTAGGTCATCACTCAGACTATCATTGTCACCAAGTCTAGTTTCTGCATGAGAAGCATCATCATTGGAAGCTTCTTCTGTCTGATTGGAGGATACTGGCTTGAGCTCCTCCATCTCTCGAAGAACATCCTTCACTGAAACTGCAACCTGTGTCATTGCTCGCCCAATCACTGTGATATTTGAAGCAGGAGTCTTCTTAAGAGCAGTGCATGCTTCCCATACTGCACCAACTAATTGTGGGACTAAAGGTTTGAGGTCTTTATTTCGAGATCCTGCTAGTGAGTGTATTATAGGGAAGGATGAAATAAGGAGCATCAAAATCCATCTGCTTAAAAGGCATGATGAATCACCACACAATCAGGTCGATGCATAAGATGACCTGAAAAACCTTGTAAAACTAGTCTACACCTGGAAACAAGCATTCATGGAGGGAGCTTGCATATTTCATTGTCAAGTTTACTTCCTGAGACCATATGGGACAGCTAGTGATCAACTATCTCACTAGAAAAGATTAAACATATCAAAAGCTAACTCCAGATTCAAAAATGCTTCTAGAACAATTATGCAATTGCCCTCTCAAAATCCTGTTTTTGTTTGTTTTACTTGCTTCTTCAATTCCAGTATTATTGAAAAATTTTGGGTCCTAAATGGCCATAGATAGTTGTTCTGCAGCATAGTGAAAATTTGGGCCACGTGGATTTATTTTTCAAACAATTGGCTATTTCTTAATCACAATATATCTCTACACTCGTTTTAATTGTGTACAATCAACACTATGTGGTTTCCCCAACTTAAACTACATTAGAAACCTTGGGCCTCCATGAATTTAGCAAGTTGTATGTTGCATGGGATAATGATGAGATAAAAGAGATGCACTCATTTCTAGAATAGAACACCACTAATTGGATTACACATGCACTCCTTTGCATGACATGTTTGTTTAGTGGATGCATTTTTGTGTGCATTTGTTTGTGAAAGAGGTGTTCCCAAATGAGGAGACGTTTTCAATCATCAACTTAAAACTGCATTCAACAACTTGCTTAATGGATGAATGGATAGCAGATGCAAAAGTAGGTCCTGCACCTACCATACTTCCATGAGAAAGCAGAATCAAACCCTGGAACGTATTGAAGTAGGTTGCCATGTTTTCCTCAACTGCTTTAGCTTCTGGTGTTTCCCCAATCCAGAGCATTCCAGCTGCACCACGATAGAAACACCATCACACCACAATAGAAACCCCATCGCACCACAACAGAAACACCATTGCATACCCAAATCTGACCCACAATGCCACATATGAAAAAGAGAGGGCCACAGCTAGCTCTCCAGAAGTGGGAAACAGGTCCAAAATTTCCTTTCAAGAGACATGGAACGGGTGAAAAATCACAAATATGAGCAGGGGGCAGAACTCCGTGTATCAATAAGGGTTCAATGGCAATCCCAGTTTTTTAGGAAGTTCACAATTTAGTCTTAGTATTTTGAAACTTTTTAATTGTATCCTTTAATTTGAGACTTAGTTTGTATAAAATACATATTTTTCACCCCCATAAAAATATATATTTTTCATCTTTCTTAAATTCTAGTTCCACTGCTTACTATGAGGACAGTTTTGTATATCCATCTTTCTCATTTAGAGTTTAAAACATCAATAAGAAAACAGCCTTGATGAACAAATATGAATAACAATCAAACTATATAATGTTGTCAAAACAACAATAAGATGGCAGAAGCACTCGAACCCAACCACAACATCCAAACATAGATCAAAAATCAACTTGTCAAATGAATATAATTAAGTCAAAACAGCTTACAGCCAGACACCTTGACAGCTGCATACTCTCGAAACAGCCAATTTTCACCTCCTCGAGCAAAAGAATTGTTTATCAATTAAAAAAATGAAAATTTAATCTGGTTTCTCGTATCACCCATTTCTAATTTCCACTTGGTCCTTTTATGATGAAATAGAACAAACCAAATTGAAATCCTTATAATGTCCCTGAACATATAAAAGCACCAAACAAAGAAACAATGGTAAAATCTGACAAGACGTTGACTGAGAAATACTTTCAATGGGAAAACGAAGGACAGAACTATGAAATGAAGTTGTGAGATAAAAGAAAAAAAATCACAAGGAGCAGAGAACAAGCAAAGAAGGGTACCAATAGTAGCTTGCTTGGAGACTTGATCGCCCATTTTAACAACAACATCCCAGGTCAGTTTATCAAGCGATGGAGCTGGTGTCTGATCCAACAGCTATTATTCATACAGAAACCGAAAAAAAAAATTCAAAATTATGATGTATAATTAGAAGAGGCATTCATTTAAAATAGAGGAAGAAAACCTGGAGGGTCTCATGGATGGTGTTGAGGTGCCCACTCAAACTTTGATTCAGACGCTCTCTCTCCGCTTTTCCCATCTCCCTCGATCAATCTAGTGGTCTTGGGGTTTAACCCCCAGGTTTTTTGTCTAGCCGTTTGATTTATAATTGTAGCACTCCTGAACGGTGTCGTTTGGTTTGCCCTGACAAAGACCTCAATTGTGCTCTCCTCAAATTAGGGGTAGCTTGATCTAACATTTTAGGTAAATTCATACAGTTTATTTTGAAATATTATATCAAAATAGTGGGAGGTTATAATCCCTTTCAATTATTTTTTTTCTATTAAAAAAACCCAAACCAATTAATAGTTGGATTTACACGTCAATCTTTTTTTTAATAAAAAAATCCTAAAGGGATCAACATGTAAACTATCGCTTTAAGAGTATGTCACATGTTAGTCAGCATATCAAGTCCCCTGAATATTTTCTATACTTGTTGCTTGTGTATATATAGACACACACATGCAATCATCAATACATGCATGAAGTTCAAAGGGTTAAAAAACAAAACAGCAGCAATTCGAGAGCACAGTTTCACATGCTTGTGGCAATAAAGGAGAAGGATGGAGGCGGCTGTAAACAAAATAGGTAAATAAAGTTCCCTTCTCAAAACAGTACAAGTCACGGCAGTAATTCCTAAACGAGGAATCTACTAAAGACGATGCTAATGTTAGGTCAAGCCTAAGATAATCTCTTGCACTGTCAAACCCAACAAAATTCTGAAGAATATTAGGAACAAGGAAACATATTCATAAAAACACCATCCTTCCTTAACTACAATGCTAGCCATGTCTTCCACATTTTGATCATGAAACTGTTTCCCGCCGCCAAAATCCATTAGCTTAGCTCAAGTACCATGACACCAAAACATTGCTCATTATCGTCCCTCTTAAGACTGCAACTTTCCAAATTAACTTGTTTGTCGCCTCCGTCGATTCAGTGCTCTAATACGTTTTCTACTGAATATCTTTCCTCAAATATTCTTTCCCTTGCGTCACTTGCCTGCAACAATATGAAAACGCACAGATTAAAACATCTCCATAGAAAAGGCACAATATGATCAACTTACTGCAAAATCACTAGAAAGCTAACAGGGTTTGATACACACACACACTAACCGATGAAGCTTCAAGGGATTAAGTCTGGATAACAAACCTGTTTTTCCCAATTCGTACAGCTTGTTATGAGGGAGAGAAGAACTGTTTGCAAAATGCCACCAACTTGTATGCCTATCCAAAGGCCCCTAGCTTTCAACTGCAACCAAAGGCCCAGTATGGCAGCCACTGGAACCCCACAAAGATAAAATGCAGCAAGATTGACATAAGCTCCAATATGCTGCCAACCACATCCCCTTGCAACACCTGATATGACATAACAAAGAAGACCAGGTCTAAATGTTCAAAGATTTATCTCCAGAGAAAATTTGCATGTTGATTGAAAAAAATGAAGTTTAACCTGAAAGAACCACTTGTAAGCCATCTAATATAACAGACAAACAAACCAGAGGGGTCATGTTGGAAACATAGTCCACAACTTCCTTCTCGTTGCTAAAACTGTAACCAAAAATGTCTCGGGTGCCAAAGAGGGTTCCGCTTACTATAATTACTTCAATGATTGCTAGAATCATAACAGTGTAGACGGCTATGCGAGCAGCTTGTGGGCGCCCAGCTCCTAATTCATTTGAGACTCTAGTGCTGCAAAAGATATCCAAAAAAAGATCTAAGAAAAATCGATCGTATCATTGATTGTGCAGAGATAAAGTATGCACATGGGTGCCATCCAATTTGGCTGGTAAAGTTTTGCCTTCGTGTTAAGAAGATAGGAAACAAATCCCGCACCATATGTGGAAAAGAAGGAATTGAAGCGATAGGAGGGTTAGCCCTCTGTTCAGTTCAATTGAAACCGCCCAAAAAGAGCAAAGAAGGCAGAGAGAGACAAAAGCAAGCATTTGCATTTATAGAATTTATGCGTGTATACTGGAGCAAACCTTACTGCAGCACCTATTCCATACGGTATTGAGTAGAGTGTTGAGGTTGTAGTGAGACTGTTTACAACATTGGACAGTGAATTATATCAGGTAATATTGCCATTTAGACATTAAAGTGAAATCTCCAAAATACAAGCAGAGTTGGAGAGCATACCACACAGATAGGACTGAAGTCTCGAGTTGTGGATTTGATAAGAGCCCTGATAGCAAGACTACAATCTCATATGCCCACCATTGCAGGCTACAATTATCAACAATTAAAAACTCATAAAAGGTTACATGCCTTCTCAGAGAATGTATGAAACTCTGTATGCTATCAAAGGAAAAGAGGAAAGAACAGGGATAATTTACCAAATCATTACGGCAGATGGGATAGCAAAACGGAAGAATTCTCCAATTCCATGGAACATCTCCATAGAAACTGGGGCACGAGTTTTTGCACAGGCAGAAGAATATTTCATGTACAATAAAAGAAAAATAACATTTAACCAATTTGAAATGCTGATAGCTAATGCCCCTCCAACATTTTCTAGTCCTGACTTGAATACTAAGAACCAGCATAGGGGTATATGTAAAAGAAGAGTGACAACAGAGCTCGCAAGCATTGGAATGGTTAAACTTTGAATTTGAAGGTATCGAGAAAGTGGCTGAAATATTGCATACGCAAAAAGGGTAGGAACAGTCCATAATGTAAATCTCCCAGCTTCATGTGCAATTATGGGATCTTGGCCAATTAATATGAGCACCTTTTCCATGTTGATCCAAACAAGAGAAACAAGGGAAGCAACTAAAACTAGGGAGAACATAGCACCATAAGTTTGATGTCCCACTTTCTGATATTGTTGAGCTCCATAAGCTTGCCCACATAAAGTTTCCAGTGCACTTGCCAATCCATTCTGTTAAAAAATTGCATAATTGGTCACTGTCAAATTCTAATTACTCCAATTCTATCCAATTATGCGTATTGTAAATTTCAAAATTTTCTTCAATCCCCGGTTTTTTCTGTTCTAATTGGCTATTGTAATGTTACAGGCAGTTTTAGAAAGAGGAAAAGAAAAAAGATGTGAAGGTAAACAGGAAAAGCAACTTACAAGAAGACTCATGCCGGTAACATTACAGAAGGAGACGGATATTGCAGCGCTTGAAAGAGCTAGCTCTCCCAAATGACCAACCATCATATTTGATATAACCAGTAACAAGTAGAGGGAAGTAATGGTAACCACCATGGGTCCTGCTATATAAGCAAGCTTTTTCGCTTCTTGAGTGAACACATCCCGTGTTAGGACTAATCTTTCCCGTCCTTCCAATTCTGATCTCTTTTTCGGTCGCAGTAAACTCTCTTCCATGCTCATTGCTGTGTCTTTCGTGGGCTCCTCGATCTCCACTGTTTCTGTATAGAAGTTGAGAGATATGAATAGCAAGCCAAAGAAATTAATGCGCAGATTGGCCGGATTATCAGAGCATCTCTTGGAGTCTCCCATGTTCTTTTTTTTATCTGAAATCAGCGCATGTTTTTTATTTTATTTTATTCGATTGGTGTAAAAAAAAAAAAAACTGTCATGCAAAGTAATTGGCTATGCAGTGAAAAAAAAAAAAAATCCCCTCTTGTATTGAGAATATTGACCGAAGTGTCAAAATTAGGGTTGTCAATGGGACAAGTGTCGGATTTTATAATATTTATATTTTATTTATTATATAAGGGTAAAAAAATTAAAAATTATTTATGAAATTTCAGGTATTTATTATCTAATTATTATTTATTATTGAATAAAAAATAAAAAAGTTAATATATATATATATAACGTATTGCATAAAAAATTAAATATTTTATAAATATATATTTTGAGTTAGGTTAAAGTAGTTTTTGAGTCGATCTTGAAAATATTTATATTGTATCTATTATTCATTAATTAAAATTTTATTCAATTACCCAAATTTTATAAATATCTAAAATGTTGAAGAGAGGAAAGTGAAAGTTCATGTTTGGTTTTGAGTTTTAATTTGTTCATTTATTAAAATTTGAAATATTTTTAAATTAATTATTTTTAAAAAATATATTATTTTAATATATTTTCAAACAAAATACACTTTAAAAATACTCCTTTTAAACACAGCTTTACGTGAATATTTGAGGTTGAGATCCAAAAGAGTTTGCCGAAGATTTTGGAATTGAAGCAGGCGACATGAAAACTTGAAGATTGGAGGAGAACTATCTAGTAAATCAAGAAGCTTTATGCAAAGAAGAAACTCGTTCAACTTGAAGTTTTAAGTTACATTCTTGTTTTTTTATTTTTATATTAATTTTATCTTCATATTAAATGTTTGTTGACACTATAGGCATGACCTTTCCTATTGGATGTTATCCCTTTTGTTGATATGAAGGACTCATTATTCAAACAATTAATCCCTCTACTGTTATTATTATGATACATATTATTATTTATTATAATAGTATAATTATTATTTTACATCTTAATCATTTTATTTTTAATCTTCACTTTTATCATGATATAAATATTTTTTGTGAATTAAATGGGGCTTTTTTAGTAATTGTGTTTTGTTATACACAATAAATTTACCATCGCAGCCTTGAATAAAATAATCCAATGCCTTTTAGACAATGACATTTTCATATTTTATAAAATAGTTAAATTAGTATATTATCCTTATAATTTAATTTTTTATTTTAGTCTTAGCTTTAAGGATTTGATTGTAATTTTATCATAATTTATTTATTAATATTATTTAGTATGGAGAGAATTTTTTGGTTTTTCATTAAAAAAAAATAGAAAAGCCACCGACGAGTGCCCTCATAGTAAATATCTTTCAAAGTTGTATATAAAAATCTCCAAAACCAAATGTATTTGTATGCATTATGTTGTACTACTATTATAAATCATCTTCTTATATCTTTTTCTTATTAAACTTTTAAGCAAAGTAGATTAGTGGAAAGGATTTGTATTATTATTATTATTTTAACCTAAATAAAGAGGATTGTAGTAATTTTTTTTTAATTTTTTAAATTAACTCGAATCAATTTATATAACTCAAGACACTGGATTAATGTTGGGACCGATTTTAATAAAAATGATTAGAAGGTGAGGAGTGCCACGTCATATCAACTTAAAACTTAAAAACAAAATTAGGTAAAGTTTAAGAGTAATCTCGTCCCACGCAAGTGCACAAAATACTACCTCGAAGATACTTCGAGGCTTAAAGCTGATTTGCTCGATATACAAAGTATTCTATGGTGAAAACGTAGAGGATTAAAATACGATACACACACACACACTACCCAAAGAACAAATGAGTAACCTCAGATTTTCTCCTCCTCGGAACGTCGATAGGATTTTGACACAGGATCTGTAAACAAAGCAAATGTCCATAAGATGTTTTACGGAAGGCTTAATTAAACAAAAAAAATATTTGTATTAGGATGCTTACTGAGTCACTAGTTACGGTGGAAAACAATCCTGATCTCTCTCCTTTTTCTTTTTCTTTTTTCCCTTCTCTATTTCATTGTATGTGTGAGCTGAAAATGTAATTTCAGGTCAAAACAATAAATAAATAAATAAATGACTTCACCCAACTAAACTAGCTATAGTGGCTACACTAGTTCTTTTTTTAAACATATTTACTTATTTTGTTCCTCGAGGAGGTCCAATATATTACAAAAACATTAAAAAACAATACGTATTGGAGAGTTTTGAGTGAGAAAGGGAGTTTAATGTTAAAAGGTACATCCTCTCCATTTCTCCATGTTAACTTTCTGTTACTAAATCCATGGAAAAGCCTGAAATATTCATTGCATTTTAGGTAACTAGCAAGGAAAGGAACCGGAAGAAGAGTGCTTTTCCCTGAAATTATAATTATTATTAAAAAAAAAAACATTTTGTCTTGGATTGTCTCACTCATCCTCAAATATATGACACATGGTCTGCATGATACACACAAAAAAAGAAGCTTTGGAATACAAAAAATATGGAAAAAGAACTGCTAACCTTATCAGCTTAATCAGACTTTCCCCTTTTACAATCTCTCATACATAGCAAAACTAGATCACTGGTCATATCTCTCGAATCATATTAATCCATTGTCATGACCTTCAAAAATCCTCTCCCTTGCCATTCTTGCCTGCAATACAAAACCACCAAGAACAAATGTATTACCAGCAGAGCATGATATAAAGAAGCAGAAGACAGAGTAGAAGCAATCGTCATAAGAAAGAATATAAATAAATAAGAACAGAGATTTATGCACCGTGTCAAAAACAATGCCATTTCACACTTTGCATTTTTTTGCCTGTGATTAATCAACAACAGTGGGGAGATTCAAAGCAAGACTAATCCATGCAAGCGTACAAGATTGAATAACACACCTGTTTTTCCCAATTTGTGCAGCTCGTGACAATAGAGAGTACAATTGTTTGAGTGAAGGCACCGATTTGAATTCCAATCCAAAGGCCCATGCCTCCTAAATTTAACCAGAAAGCCAACAAGGCAGCAACTGGAATCCCACAAAGATAGAAGGCTCCGAGATTTATATAAGCCCCTATATGCTGCCATCCACACCCTCTCGCAACCCCTGAAATTAGGGACATTCGAATCAATAAAACAGTGCAAAAATTTATCCGTGGCACAGAAATACTTTGTTGATGGAGAGGTCTAACCTGAAAGTACTCCTTGTAAGCTGTCCATTATAACCGACAGACAAACCAGAGGATCCATCGTTGTGACATAATCAATTACTTCCTTTTCATTGCTGAAAATATAGCCAAAAACACGCCTGCTGGCAAAAAGGGCTGAAGTTACCATAATTGTCTCTGAAACTGCAAGAAACATCGCAGCATAGACAGCTAAACGCGCTGCTCGTGGGTTCCCAGCTCCTAGTTCATTTGCGACTCTAGTGCTGTACAAAGAGAAATAGGAGATATTAGCATGATACATCAGTATTATAAAAATAATATATCTTGCGCATATAAAGCTCTTCGTAGCAAGACCTTGCTGCGGCACCAAGTCCAAATGGTATCCCATAAAGTGTTGAGATAGTCATGAGACTGCAGAAAAGTAGACAATAAATCAACATAAATTCAGTCCATTTGAGAAATAAATTTTCCAATTATGTTTCAGATTTGCTGCAAGTGATCCAAACCAGATTGGGGTCAAGAAGATTATAGAGAAGGAGAACATACCACACAGATAGGACTGAAGTTTGAAGCTGTGGATTTGGTAAGAACCCTGAGAGCAAGATAAGCAGCTCAAATGACCACCACTCAAGGCTGCAAGCATCAATATAATCTCATACATCGAAGACTGCAATGTCTTAAAATTAAAACAACAAACGACCTAGTCTACAGCTAAATTACCAGATCATTACTGCAGATGGGATGGCGAAGCGGAAAAACTCTCCGACCCCGTAGAATAACTCCTTGGAAATTGGAACACGAGTTTTTGCACAGGCGGAAGAGTACTTTATGTATAATCCAAGAAAGATTACATTCAACCAATATGAAATACCCATTGCTACCGCAGATCCCACATTTTTTAGCCCAGACTTGTATACTAAGGCCCAGCAGAGAGGTATATGGAAACAAAGAGTGGCACAAGAGCTTATCAGCATGGGCATGATAAAACTTTGTGTCTGAAAATATCTAACAAGTGGCTGAAGAGTTGCATAAGCAAAGAGTGCAGGAACAAGCCACACTGTAAATTTTCCGGCTTCATGCGAAATTGCAGGATCTTGACCAGTGAAATGGAGTATCTTTCCCATGTAGATCCATATGACAGATAGAGGGATACAGACTAAGTTTAGGCAGAAAATTGCTGTATAAGTTTGAGTTCCAAGTTTTTTATATTGCTTAGCTCCATAAGCCTGCCCGCATAGGGTTTCCAATGCACTTGCCATCCCCATCTGTTAGTAAAATGTACAAATTACATGTTATGGTCAATTAAAACCACGATTCAGCTTTAAAAAACAACAAAGACTTTTAGTAAGGTCTTCTTTCTTTTTTCCGCAAATTATTCAACCCTTTTGTTTTCATCTTCGACGCATGTTTCTACGGATTTAAAACAATGATCGCTACCTTTTGATTCTTAACAGTAATTAGCAAACATCACTCTAATATTAATAATTAGGTAATGGAAGGTGGTAAGGCCACTTCCACTATTCCAAGCTGCTGGGTCGTTGTTCCACCTTAAATTAATGAAGGCAAAACCAAATTTGGTTGCTTCTCTTTCCGATTCTCTCTCTTACAATTTTATTTATTCTGGGGCCTTCTTGATCATGATGGTAAAGTTGAATAGACAAACTTCCAGCTAAAGGACAAAATTATTATTTTTTTTATTGAAATCAAATGCTATAATAAATATGTCTTCATCAAGGCATTGACTAGTAAGTTGGTCTGCTAGAACTCTTGCTTTTCTTTTACCGTCATAAGATGGGTAAAACTAGCAGGGAACCGCAACTTGATTCTGACTTGATCACTTACGATGTAGACACCGACCTTTTTCTAATTGCTTCCTTACATTATTTGATAAATTCATTGAAAGCAACCGTTTGTAATCATCATAGCCAATGAATTAAAAAGAAAACCAGCAACAATTCAATAAGCAATGGAAAATTTAGAACCCTACTGCAAAGATCATTAGGGTGATAAGTTCCTATTTTGTCAAATGTAGAACATGAAAATGACATATAATTGCGCGTTGTCAGCAGAGATGTGATTTGTTACTGTTAACCATATATTACCCGCATTGCGAAAGTTCGTACTTATCACATGGTTGGATTTTCCTCTTCTTTTGAAAAAAAAATGGGAGAACTAATTCATCTTTTATTTTCCCTTTTCTTTTGGACGTCATGGGGACTCACTAAATTAATTCCTACAGCATGCTTCTCTCATTGTCACAATTTCCTTAGTTATTTCTGACTAACCAATTAACTCGCTATTGATAACCATTTCGTCACACAAGCTATTTCGTACCTAGTTCATGATTGTAAGGTGTAACCATTGCTTAATCATTTAACTAAAATATTGATACTGAGCTAACCTGATAAAAGTCGCTGGATGAGACAAATTTTAGTGCGATGAACAAAGAAGAGAGGAGGACGTGTACAAAAATACAGAGGGAGGCAGGCAGGCAGGCAGCATAAGCACTTACTGACCACCTCGATCCTTCAGTACTGTTTGTAAAATTAAGACCAGTGAAATGGGCATGTATTGTAAATAAAAATACTGCGATCAGACAAGAAACAGACAGAGACTGGCAGCAATCAAACTCAAGCACAAGCAGCGTATATCATTAATAATAATTAAAGAAAAGAAAAGGATTAAATACCATGGGACTGAAACCGGTGACACCAGAAAGAGAGAGAGCCATGGCGGCACTAGAGAGGGCAAGCTCACCAAGGTGACCAACCATCATCATGGATATTACTTGCAAGGAGTACTGTGTTAGAATCACAGCCACCATTGGTCCCGCTATGTAACCAAGTCTTTTCACTTCTTGAATGAATACACCCCATGTTGGGGTTGGAGTGGGACCAATAATACCCTGCCGTTTCTCGTCAACCTGTCTTGGTAGCAAACTCTCTTCCATGTTCTTCTCTCTGTCTCTATGGCTTGTCTTACAATAGAACCGAGTTCTGCTTGGTTCACAAAGTATCGGATTGTTGGAATATGAAAAGGGCAAGAGCTGGAGAGAATAGAGAGAGAAAGTGAGAGACGTCTAGGTTTGGTAGCTCAATGAGGATATTTTTATCTTGCTATTAGGCTCCACCGGGCTTCGTTATTCAAATGGGTTTGTCTTCGGGTTTTAGGGGGTTTTTTTTTTCCCCTTAAAATTAAAATGACATTACCACTTTAGACGAAAAACATTAAGATCATGCTTGAAGACATACGTGGGCAACCCATCATTTGGATGTCTAACACAGTGTTTCTCTAGAGCTTTCTGCTCTCCGTTTTTATAATAATAATGATGATGATGATAATTATAATATAATGGATTTTACTGGGACTAATAAGAGGTTAAAGAAAGAAGGAAACAAAAACCATGAGCCATGCCTCCAAATTAATGAAATATGGTGGCTGTAACAGATTAAGATTAGATGCAGCCTCGTGAATGAATATATATATATATATATATATATATTATTTTATCTTGACAAGGCATTTCCCTCTAAATGCATCATTTAATTTGAGTTTACAGTTATTAAAAATGAATAAATGTGACAGTCTAAATTTGTTTGTATTTCTTCTCCTGCATGGCTGTATCCTTTACCTCAAAGTGCTCCACTGTTATTTTCTCTCCTCGTTTTGGGAATGTCACCTTTGAGTTTTTGCCGCAAGAAACATCCAAGATACGGTGGTTAGAATATGTCCTTTAATTGATTGCTCGTCCGTCCTCAGCTTACCTGTCTCTGCTTTTTCTTCCGGTTATTGTGTGATTGTGTTATGAAGAATATATTAAAATAATATTTTTAATATAAATTTATTAAAATAATTTAAAATATAAAAAAAAAACAAATTTAATATCAATACCAAACCCTCCAAATGAAGAAACACATAACCCTCTTTATTGTGTATAAAGTGTTATATTATATTTAAAATTGCAGTTATAATTATTTTTTAAAGTAATTTTTTTATAATTATATTAAAATAATAATTTTTATTTTTTAAAATTTATTTTTAATATCAGCACTTCAATATAATTTAAAAATAAAAATTATTATTTTAATATAATTATAAATTAAAGTTTTAAAAAATATTTTAATAATATAAAAATAAACCGATCTCGAACTTTGGGACGAGGGTGAGATATGATACGTGGAATTCATTTCAGAGTTCTTAAAAGCGAGTCAGGAAACTAATTGCATGCTTTTTCGAGGAAAAAGATTGTGCAAACTTCTCTTTAAATTTGTCAACTTTTCTTTATATTAAAGAATCCCTTATGGTAATTTTGACCCACGCTTTCACGTGCTTTCTTCTTCTTCTTTGTGGGCTCATGATGAGGGTGCTTGGAGTTATGGCTATAGTTATCTTTTAATTTATTTTTATTTTAAAATATATTTAAAAAATTATTTTTAATATTAATTTAAAATAAAAAATAAAAAATAATAATTTATTTTAAAAATACTTTTTGAAACACAAAAACAGGTTTTTTAAGAATATAAAACCATGATTAGTTTATTTTTTTCAGATGTGTGGTATGATGAATTATTTTTAAAATATTTTTATTTAAAAATATATTAAAATAATTTAAAATCAAAATTTTAAAAAACTCTAATTGAAACGCGAGTTGAGACACCTAATCTGTTAAAAATTAATTAGGTTGCTTTCCTTTACTGGAAAAACAGTTAGATTCTTAAAAAATCATATTCTTCCAGAGCTGTTAACAACAACGTAATAACAAATCACATTGTGATGTTTTTGGTAGTGTGTAGCAGTTTTAAAGATGCTTTTGGTTTTTTGTCCATCAATGAACGCACCTTAAATTAGACAATGATATTAACCTTTCTTTATTTTCAAATATTTCTGTCCTATCCCACCTCTCTTGCTTCAGATAATAGGCATGCACCGTGCTTGCATCAGTGGTTTATTTATCTAGTTTTTATTGTTTTTGTTTTTATAACAATTTTTAGAATTAAAGGTAAATATTCGAATGAAATTAGAATTAAATTGTTTTTCTTTGCTCTCATGTTATTGTACGAAGTCGGTCTCTAGTTGTTGTCGGACAGTAATGTTTTCAATGTTCTTTTTTATAATGTCGTGGAAGGAGAGGTTAGTACGTTGAAATCTCAGTGAGAGATTTTATATACTAATTAATTAATATCCGTAGTTTTTGTTTCATTGTTGATTTATTTTATAAAATTGATGATATAGGAAATATATGTGTTTATGTTTATGACTTTTTTTTCCTATTTTCATATCCCATTCTTTTCTTTATAGGTTTTTTTTTTTATCAAATTTCATATCAAGACACAAATTCTGTATGAATATTTTATTTATTTTACTTTTAATTCCTTTTCTCAAAGTTTCATATATTTTTCCCCAAACTTTAAAATATGAATAAAAATCCTCAAAGCTTCATCAATATTTAAATTCCTTTTTCTTTTAATGATTGGTCGATATTGATCGTATATATTTTTTTTTTTCAATGTCACAACACTAAGGAAGGATAGATTTCTTAAGCTATGATTGTACTAAGATTTCTCAACAGTTACATAAATTCATTCATTACCAGCACTAACATAACTCGTCAAAGCAAAACTCATGCAGGTGAGAAATTTTAAGGAGTAATTCTTCCGCGCATCAAAAATTACATCATCATGGTGATATAAAATTTCTTGTGAATATCGATTGCATCAAAAGAAAACCTTGATCTTATAATTATAAAGACGAGGAGCAGAATACTTCCAAACGAAAACAAGCAGAATGAGTAAGAAACTGAAGCAAATTAAAGAGCCAATATTACTCTTACCGGAACTTTTATCCTTTCTCACTTGTTGTTGCAGAGCATGAACACCGGATCATGTATTGCTAAAAGAATTGCCCCCGCACATTAGCAAACTTGGGAAGAGAGGAGATTGAAGAATCTCGTGACCGAAAACTATCTTACAGAAGCATGAAACCCGCGTACAAAAGAAGTAAAGAAAAACTGTAGGATGAGAAGACAGCAGAAGCAAGTAAAGAAGAACATAACAAGTGTTGTTTATGGTTCTAATGGTCGATATAACAGAAGTCTGGGTCTTAATTCAGATTGAGAATCCAAAAACATGGAGAATGTTTTGTGTTCTCGCGAAAGGGGAGTCTATATGTAAGAAGGGAAAGTAGGAAGAGTATAAACAGAGAGGGGTGAAGAGGCGGGGGAAAGATGAGGAAAAGGAGGGAGAGGACCCGTGAGAGACATTAATAGAAAGGGTACATCTGAATGAATTGAGCAAACTTGAGAGAATGGGAGGAAGGCCTGAAAGGTAGGAACAGAGGAATAATTGCAATATTTTGTCCGGGTGAAGGGGAGGTTTTCTGTTTCATGTCTCTTGGTGCAAGTGAGGTGGAAAATAGACCTAATGATCAAGAAAGTTTGCTTATTTTTTATTTTTATTTTTTAAAATTATAATTCTATGGTAAGCATTTAGAATGTACTAAATCGATTTGAAAAAACGCTCTTAAGATTTTTTTTTTTTTTAAAAAAAGCTTGTTTCAATTACATAAGAAAAACGTTAATAAGAAAAGGAAGACAAAAAATCTGAATGATAGAACAGGTGATGTTACTATGCTCAGTTCTTAAATTATCATATTTGTTATCATTATGAATATGAATTACATATTTCATATCACCATAATGTTGATGTTACGTAGGATGATGGAATTATTACATATTTCATATCACCATAATGTTGATGTTACGTAGGATGATGGAATTATTACATATTTCATATCACCATAATGTTGATGTTACGTAGGATGATGGAATTATTACATATTTCATATCACCATAATGTTGATGTTACGTAGGATGATGGAATTATTGTAGTTATATTTTAAAATATTTTTTATTTAAAAATATATTAAAATAATTTATTTTTTTATTTTAAAAAACTATTTTTAATATTAACTTATTAAAAATATTTAAAAATATTAATTTTAAATAAAAAATAAAAAAATTGAGCGAACATAATTTTACACCACATTTCCAAATACTTTTTAAATTTATGTTTAAGAGTTAATTCGCTTTGTTTTTTAAAATAGTTTTTGTAAATATATTAAAATAATATTTTTTTATTTTAAAAAAATACATATTATATATAGAAAAAACAACTAAAGACAACCTTGTTAAGCATCGATTATTTATTACGAGTGTCATTTTTGAACCGTTTACACACACATATCTTAAGCTATTTTAATTGATAAATTCAAGGTAATAAAAAAAAATTATTTAAAATTATAAATTTTTTTATATATTTTTAGATTATTTTGATATTATGATGTCATAAATAAATTTTAAAAATTAATAATAAAAATTATTTTAATATATTTTATAACTAAAAATATTTTAAAAAAATAATTATTACCATACTTTCAAAACACTCCTACAGTTTTTTAACATCCACCCTTCCTTTTTTATATATCTTAAAATAGATCCCTCCCATACGGGAGCTAATGGACCAAAGGAAGAAACTACTCAGAAAAAAAGCTTTGAATTTAAATTTGTGATTATATCCTTATTATTTATTTATGAAACCTTATTTAAAGTACGTGAACTTATTCTAAATAGAAAACTCTTCATTTTCATCCTATTACCGAATAAAGAAAAAATTTAACTGTCATTCACGAACTGTAGATCCGAACAAAAGAGTGTATTCTCTTCTCATCCCCTTCCTTTCCACAATATCCTCCCCTTTCCCTAGTCTCCCCTCAAAAATCCTCTGCTGCCCCTTTTCGTCACCAAATCAGGAAAGGGCAAGACATGAAAACAAAACTTTAGAGTATAGACAAATCATAAAAGGTACAGCCAATGAATGATCATCCTAGTGCTTGCCCGTGTAGTTGAGGTCTTCGTGGCAATTAGTGTATTTTATTGTCCTCCTTTAAATAATTGTCGTATTGAATTTGAAGTTGTTCCACCACCTTTTCCATAATCAGTACAAATTTCGATGCAAATTATCCATCCTCATTGCTACTCTTAACTTTCTCATATTATTAAAATTAAAAAATTAAAAATTAAAAATAAATATTTTTTATACAATATTAATAAATATATATATATACACACACACTTTACATAATACTAGTAAAGAATATATATCCCTTGTATAATATTAATAT